TTTACGACATATGTCAAAATCACAAAAAATTTCTATGGAATTGTAAAGTTGAAAATTCATAAAATTGTTGTGACTAGGTAATAGGTACCTAATGTTAAAAAACCAAACACAACGTTCTCCTAACTTTTTCTTCAAATAACCGTAAAAAAAACTCTAGTGTCAAATATAGAAAACATTTTGTAAACGTATAAAAATATATTATAATTTAAATATACGTATAGGTACCTAATCCTAGACAGACATATCATCTCCGTCCAAAATTCGTTTTTCGTATACAACTGTACCTGTCACTGCATTCAATTTAAATGTTTACTTATAGACTATAATACGTTATCAGTCTGTAGGCAGCGTATAAAATATTGGATTTATTCTCCAATCGCATTTTATTTTTTTTTTTTTAAATATATAATAATGTAATCAAACATTATTTTACATAATAAACATATCATGTTTGTGTAGTAACTTTGGCAGTTATAGTTTGCACAAAACCATTAACTACTCACATTTTTGCTGTATAGTATATTAATATAATATAGTTTATACAACTGCATGTACAACTTTATAATATATATTTATCCAAGTACAGTAATCTACAGTAACATTTAAATTAAGTTCTTCCATTGAATGCAACTACAACACTAATGGGTTGTTGGATATTTTTATCGTTGAGACGGTTCCTATATTATTCTTATTGGTTTCCTTTTACGAGTGACGCACTATACACTASAGATTTTACTACCAAAGCGTAAAACGTTACGAACGAACAACGGAAACAAMCTATACAGTTTTTATGGCATTCTATATAATAGAGATTTTTTTTAACGAAAAATGTACATTAAACTCTTAAGTTTTCCCATAAAACAAATAATTGGTAAAATCTGCAGCAGTACCAGCATCACCGGTACATACACAATACTTTGACTTCGTCTTCCACACCAAACAAAGCTGTAGAAGAATGTTTCCTGRCACAATAGACAGAGTGCATGTAAGTATCCAACCARGTAAATCGTTTTCATTACTATGGTTACCTGTTKTTTGTACTCCAATAATGTTTGCTTAAACGATAACATTATAAATTAATTTCTGAACAAATACAAACTTAGTTTATAATAATCATATCGGTGGAAGGTATACCAGTAGATAATAATACATTCGATGACGTAAAAACGATTTTTAATGAAAAGTATAACCTTCAAACCTTTTGCACCTTCAAAAATTTAAATATTATCGGTGTCAATAAAAAGATTCGATAAAAAAAATTTTGAATTTATTTATCACTTTATTAAGTATTTTTAGTGTTTGAGAATTCCATGAAATGTTTTAAAAGCGTGGAATATTTCAATAAGTATTTTGATACATTTTTTTTTTTACGTATAGTTATTATTATTAATAGTACCATTAGGTATTGCATCGTCGTCGACGATAGGCCTATTTCCTGGGGAAAAAAACCAAGTTTTGCTGTAAATAGTTGAAAACAACAGGGCCGTGGCGCTACCTTTTGCAAGGCCCTGGGCAAAACTTATTCAAAAAATAACTATAGTCACCTATAGCCTATACGGCTATACGATTTCCTTATAAAATGTTTTTCAATATAAATTTTAAGCGCGAGGCCCTGGACAAATGCCCCGCACTGTCACCCCCCTTAACRCTGGCCCTGGAAAACGAGACCTAGTACAGGAATATGTCAACCACGGCACTCATTGCATTAATTTCAATGATTAAACTTTTCTAGAACTCATTGACTATATTATAATATAGGTAGTTAATTAATTAATAAWTAACCATCATTAATATTAATTGTATTTAAAAAAATTCAATGTTTCACGGTTTTTTTAATTATTTCAACCCTAGGTATCTTATTACTTATTAGTTGTCTTATTAGTGTGACTATAGGTTAATGATAAGCAGAATTACATAATACGAATTAATGTACCAAAGTATATAAACCTATACAACTCAATACAAGTTTGTTTATATTCCTGTTGACTGCCATAAGCCCATAAATGGAAAAAAATCATTTGCTACAAAATCCGATCCCTAGTGGTGGCCTTGGTACAGATTATTTTGGGATTTTGGATCAAGATGTAATTTGACTAGGTGGTTACCATRAACGTGGTCAAACGTCAAACACACAGACGTTGACTCATGCGGTACCGGACAAAAAAATTTGTTAGGCGCATGCTTTGGAGGTGCAAAAGCACTTATTCCGAAGCTCCAAGCGATTGCTGTGTTGTGGACTTGGGCTGTACYTATAGTATACAGGTACTTTATCGTTTAATTTAATATATGATATTGTAATATATATCACATACTATCTACTAATTTTTATAACACTATATACTCCTAGATGTAATAATATTTCAAATAATTAAATGTATTGCCATGTTGATTTCGAACGTAATAAGACTTAAAAGGATAATAATATACATAGCAAATTTGTGTTCAGCAAARCAACTTTGGATTGTTAGCTATAATAGCTAGGTTTATATTATTAAACTTGGCGGAACTTGAAGGAATTCTTATGTTTTTTTGATTGGATAGGTATGTAATGTGCGCCAATTTATTATTCAGAAACCACATGTTATTTTCGCCACATCTATAACTAGATATTAATTTTGGTAACCTGTGCCACGATAGAAAATAGAACATTTTATCTGTTACATACTCAATCTAAATTGTTGGAATATAGGTAGGTATCTGATAAATTTACCGAGTTCACATAAATTGTATCTATCATATGAAAAGTGAATGAATAAAAAGAACAATAGATTAGACATTAGTAAATTATTCCTGATGTTTACACGAGTTATTATTGACTAAAATGTTTTGTATTAATTACTCATTTAAACATTAAATAGGTACCTACGAACACCTCCAATTACAATTAACTTTACATTTTTTTCTTTATTTATATTTTTATAATATTCTTGAAATGTACCTATTAAAATGAATATGATTTAAAATATACATAATATTGATAAGTTAAAACAAAATTTTAAAATTATTTTAAAATGGCACAACTTATGATTTTAATAAGGTGAAAATGACGTTAATTGCAATTTTTAAGCTACCTACAAAATTATACATATTAGTATATTACCTACATATAGGTAATACATTTTATT